TCAAAGGTCAATGTAGTAGCCAGCCTCCCAGATGGACCCCAGTGGTCTGCCTGCTGATTTGAACGCACCTGGGTAGTCTCATTCCACATTGAATAGTGTCAGTAATTTGTCCTCTGTAACCAATAGGGTATTGTAGAAATGTTGAGGTGTGACAGTCAAAGATAGGCCATGAGAGACATTGCAGCTTCTGCCTTGCTGTCTTGAATTTGGGTTGGTTCTAAAGTCCATTCCCCATGTGGCAGTTTATATTTTTAAAAACTGCCAGCATAGTAGTTTCCATCCTACATGCTCTTCTACTTTGTCACCCTCTCATCAGGAGAAGGGATCTATGTCTCCTCCCCTGGAGTCTGGGTGGACTTCTGCTTTGACTAATAAAATGCTGCAGAAGTGAGGTACTGTGACCTCAGAGGACAGGTCAGAAGATGAAACACGCTTCAGATTTGTTCATTGGATCGCTTGTTCGACTGAGTCTTGAGCCACCATGGAAGAAGTCTAATTACCTAAAGGCCACCATGCTGGGGAAGGCCAAGCTATATATGGAGGGGCCCGTTATATAGGTGCTTCAGTTAGCATTACTAGACTTTATCATCTCAGTCCAGGCACTAGATACACAAATCAACAGAGCCTTCAGAGAGATGATTCCAGCTCCCATAAGTGTCTTTCAGCTTTTCAATCTGCCCAGCTGAGGACCCAAAAATTACACAACAAAGACTAGTCATCCCCACTATGCCCTGTCCAAATTCTTGATCAGCTGGGTCTGTGGGCATATTAAAATGGGTGTTTTAAAAAACTAAATTTTGGGAAGTTCTCTGGTGGTCCAGTGGTTAGGACTCACTGCTGTCATTGCCACCGCCCAGGTTCAATCCCTGGTCAGAAAAAAAAGACCCACTAAATTTTGGGGTAATTTGTTGTGTAGGAATAATAACCGCAACACTACATACAGCTCCTGACAGTTTGGGCTTTCCCAAAAATGGCCCCTCCTCCAAGAATCTAGATGACGGTTATCTGAGGATTGTTACACTGCAGGTAACACATGGTCTTAAACTGCAAAGGATGGGACCAAAAGTCTGCTAAGTTACTTTAAGGTCTTTTGTTGAAGAGCTTCACTTTCACTTCACTTTCACTTTTCTGAAGAACTAGATGATGTCTTTCTCTGTTTATATTATATTCTTCCCCTCTAGTGGTTTTTAAGGTTGAGTAAATGAGTAAATTAAAAAGCAGAGACACCTTTGCCGACAAAGGCACGTATAGTCAAAGCTGTGGTTTTTCCAATAGTCATGTATGGATGTGAGAGACCATGAAGAAGGCTGAACACCAAAGAATTGATGCTTTCAAACTGTGGTGCTGGAGAAGACTCTTGAGAGTCCCTTGGACAGCAAGGAGATCCAACCAGTCCATTCTAAAGGAAATCAACCCTGAATATTCATTGGAAGGACTGATGTAAAGATGAGGCTCCAATACTTTGGCCACCATGAGATGATTGGTTGGCATCACCAATTCAGTGAACATGAGTTTAAGCCAACTCCAGGAGACAGTGAAGGACAGGGAAGCCTAGTATGCTGCAGTCCGTGGGGTCGCAGAGTCAGACACAACTTAGCATCTAAACAACAAATGTGTAAATTAAGAGAATTCACACAATAAAGATGATCATAAACATAGTCTACTGTTTTAGTCTGTTTGGACTTCTAGAACAAAATATCACAGAGTGGGTAGCTTATTAAACAACAGAAATTTATTTTTTACATTTTTAGTGGCTAGGAAGTCCCAGATCAAGAGGCCAGCTTGGTTGCACTCTAGTGAGGACCCTCTTCCGGATTCATTACAGACACCTTCTGGTTCTCTCCTCATATGGTAGAAGGGGCAAGGGATATCTTTGACGCCTCCATTATGAGGACACTAAGCCCATTCACGAGGGCAGAACCAAAGTATCTCTCAAAGGCCCCGCCTTCTAATACTACCATCTCTAGGCATTAAGATCTCAACATATGAATTTGGCAGGGTGCGTGTGTTAGTCACTCAGTCCTGAGTCTTTGCGACACCAAAGACTGTTGCCTGCCAGGCTCATCTGTCCATGGGATTCTCCAGGCAAGAATACTGGAGCAGGTAGCCATTCCCTTCCCCAGAGGATCTTAACCACTCAGGGATCAAACCTGGGTCTCTGCATTGCAAGCAGATTCTTCACCATCTGAGCCACCGGGGAAGCCCCTGGCAAGGAGGGAGAGCAGGAATAAACGTTCAAAGCATAGCACCTATAAAATATGCTGTCATTGAGCCTACAGAAGAGAATGACCAGGATGTGGTCATGATGTCTGAAAGGCACTTACTAATTTAGAAACCTATTAGTGCCAGGGTTTCAAACCAACACATTCCTGTCCTTGAGATGGCATATCATAAACCTTTCATTCATACTGTATGAAGCTTCATCCCATATTAACTGTGAATAATACTGGTAAATACAAAATCAAGGAATAATGGCATTGTCCAATATTCTATTAAATGGGGGCCTCATGAGGAGAGTAAGTTTGTCAATTGTCTTCCTGGCTGTATCCTCACTGCCCACCAGTGCTTATAATGCAAGCAATTGAACTGAATAAATACAATCACAGAAGAAAGAAATTAGCTTATTCTCTGATGGACATTAAAACTCCCTATTAGCACTGTTAGGATTTTAATTGTTTAAAGTCTACAAGCAAGACAAATTGACTCTTTTCTAGGTTGAAGGGGATTATGGGATATGTCTATTGGTGAACCAGCAAGAAATAAATGAAAACAAACCCCAAACAAACCAATAATTATACTTGAGTCAATATGAATTTTTATTAACACACATTTTTCAAAGTCTGTACAAACCAAAACATTCCTGTGTTTTAAAATGTCCATTATTACAAACATACAAATAAACAAAAGGTGTTACCAAAAGTTAGCTACTCAATTTTATGGTAAAACAGTATCATGATTTTTAAAAACCAAAATTTCAAGACTGAGGTTTCTTCCTTCTCTTTTTGGAACTCGTGGAAAGTTAGAAAATGTATGGATTTGCTTTATATTAAATGCCAAGACCGTAAAAAAAGATTTAGTATAAAACTAAATATGTTTTTACATTGTCACTTCAGGTAACAGAATTTCTCAAATCTTTAAAATTAAAAAAAAAAAACCATGACTGCAACTTTTTTCACAATCTTTTCCCCATAGTCAATGTAAATGCATCTGAAAAATATTATCTGACAGTTTGTCTTTACCTAAAATTTCCTCATTCAAAAAGTTACAAAACTATTTAGCACTGCCATTTCCCTTGCTTAGAAGAGAAAATTACATCCCCTACCAGAGTGATAAGCAACATGGTCCATTGTTCCTCTTATCCGAAGGAAGTCACTCATTTCCACATCTCTGTCCAATTAAGTGCATGGCTCCACTCGTGAGAATGTTCACCAATTAAAAGCATTTGCTCCTGGGAAATGCCTAGTAAGTTAAACTTACTGCTACACTTCTGGTAGTTTGAGGTACAAATGTCATCTGCCCTTATGATTACCTCTAACTCCAGTACTGCCCCCTGCGTTAAAGGATTCCAAAGTAGCTGGTTTTACTGTTCCATGGCACACCACACATCTCTAATTTCTTTTACAAACATCACAGAGGACCTGAGAGTATGGCTAGAAATGCAAATTCATCCTCTCACATGAAAAGTAAATCCATGTGCCTACTGGGTCAAGAAGGGAAAACAGGATACAGTTCAGGTTGGGGCCAAGCTGCTTTTGAGAAGCACCTGTTTTCAACACATTTCCATTAAAAGCAGGGAGTGTACAGGCAGCAGTGGGTGAGGAAGAGTGGGGAGACAGTACATACAGGGAGATCATTCCCCCAGTCACACTCAGAGTCCATAGTTGAGCAGCTCATACTAACTTCCAAAATGCTCTGTAGTCCAAATCTTATCCCATTTTGAATCATCTAAAAAAAAGTTATCTGACAATGGCCCAGTATGACAACTGATATAAGAGCATTTTCTTTTTTTAAAAAAGAGGTGGCAGTGTGGGAATTTAAAATCAGTCACATAAAACAATCAAGAAAGGGGAGGGAGAGGGAAGTGTCCAGTACAACCTGGACAACCTTTCTTTCTGCCCTTACTCAGAAAGACAGACTCGCCAAATCTTTGCTGCCTCCCTTAAGTATCTTCTTACATGCTCTTCCAAGAAACCCTCCAAAAGGCACTTAACTCCATACTTATATATTGAATTGTTTCACCTTAGCAATCAGTTTTTAAGACTCCAAGGTAACAAGAAAGGAAAGATCTGATTCTTTCACTAAAAGCTAGAGAGTAGTACTTTTTTTTTTTTAAAAGAAGCATCACTTTTACAAGAAGAACAAGCTAGGCTACCATTATTCCTTTATCAAGAAAAAGTTTCTTTTTTTAAAAAATAAATAAAACTCTGGCTATACATAGTACAAAGTTCATACATAATATACCTGGAAAAAAACCCAAGAGTATACCCTGAAGCAAAAGGTTTATTGGAGAGAAAAAGTCTCTTCCATTGTACCAAGTCTTAAGGTGGCAGTTTTCAAAGTTCAGAGGGTGGCAGTGATATGTAATTAATGCCAAATTGCTTGCTCATGGGTATGGCAGGATGCAATAATGGATCAAAAAAAAAAAAAATCATTCTGCACATAACACTGAGCAGTGACCACCACAAAAAGGAAAAAAAAAAGTAGCAAAAGAGAGACAGTAGTACTGAGAGAAGGGCTGGCGGGTAGAGAGAAGGGAGTGAGGGTGTAAGAGAGTGAGAGAGAGAAAGAGAGGGGAGCTTAAAACCCCAAACATTCAAGCATGCAGTCCTAACACAGCACAAACCAGGTGTTTCCATTCAGCCCAACGCAGTCACACAAAGAAGGATAACTGTAATAATACAGAGATTTCTTAAGGAAGCTTGCAATTCCCAGAGAACAGCCAGGTTGCCACCCTAACCAAGGAATCCATTTGCTGTTGCCGGGAGCGTTCTCGTGGTCTCTCATGGAGAGGTTATAGCTCCTGACTTCTCCGACTTCTTGCTCTTGGACAAGGCAGCTGCCTGCTTCAGGAGCTCTCGGTTTTTGGCCTAAAAAAAAAAAAAAATCAGTGCACAAAGGAAGTTTTATCAGGATAGGATGTTTTTCATACAGATGCTAAGGGAGACAATGTAGAGATCAGGAAGAGGTGAACAAATTCTAGAGGTAGAAAACAACAGACAGTTCTAGGGTTTGGTTGAGAGGGAAGAAAGTATTTGCTGGCAGTTAATCAGTGTACTTGCATCTCCTGGGATCCACTATTACAAACGGACGCTCTATGCAACACAAACAAACCATGGAGTGCTTTAGTGTGTTGGATAAACAGAATTTACAATTTAGACATCTGGAATCACATCTGGTTTATCCCAAAATCAAAGAACACATTTATTAATCCCACTGTTTTTTGAGGTAAAAAGATTAGAACACATCCAAGAGAAAATAATAAAAGTCATCTATAAGGTGATTTAATATGTCAACTGACATGTCAATTCTCTGAGAAAAAAAGAAATCTAAGAGAAGATCACTTAAAATACCATCAGCTAAATACACCAGAGTTATCATATTAAATAAGTAGAGTTACCTGCAATTGTTCTGTGACTTCTTTGTGGGTTTTCTCCATCTGGTTCATTTTGGCTCTCATCTGAGATTCTTGGTATTGAAAATCAGCCTTCAACTCTGTGATCTGTGGGGGAAAAAAAGGCAGAGTGACCAGAAGAAATTTCTGTGCAATGAAAAATGTTTTGATACCAGAGAGCTAAATAGTCCCCTAAATTAATGAAACCCAGGGCTCTCCTAAACAGCCATACCTAAATCAAAGCCAGGGAACCATGTATCCTATTTTTTTCTAGTGATTTCCTGAAAATTACACAAAATTCTGCATTAATTAGCATGTCTGCCACTGACCACTTTCTAGAAGGTTTTAGATATTTCATATAGGCATATTCAATATAGGCAATAATCTTTCAAATTCTCACCTCCAAGTAAATCAATGATTATAACAAATATGACTGACAGTTTGAGAGAAGCCATGAAAATAACAGCTGCTGTCATTTACTGAATTTTTGCCCTGTTCCAGGCAAACTGTTTGATTATATTATTTTATCTAATCCTATGATAACCCTGTGGGATAGTAACATTATTGTTCCTACTTTATAGATGGGGACATCAAGGCTTAGAAAGGATTAAGTTAAGTGGTTAGCAAGTAGCAGAGTCAGAATTCAAACTCCAGGCCTTCTTCTATTGACTATGCTATTCAAGGAGCACAGAGAAGAGGTATTAAATCAGAGAAATGAGCTGTGAGCTGAGTTGTGAGATACACGTAGCAACTGGCACATGAGGTACGGAAAAGGGCATCCAAGCAAAGGCAACAGTATGGACACCAGCAGGGTGCAAGATAATTGAGAACTTATTCAGATGACTGATGAGTGTGTCGGGAGATGAGGTCACAGATAGGAAGGCATGATGCGGAAGAGCCTGTGTTCTAGCCAAGGAATGTGATCTTGATCCTGAAAGTTATGGGAAACAATCTACTATTTGTTTTTGCTCCTTTTAAAATCCTAACTTTGTGGGAATTCCCTGGAGATCTAGTGGTTAGGACTCGGTGCTTTCACTACTGTAGATAAGGGAATAAAGATCTTGCGACTGCAAAGCACTAGAGACAAGCATTCATTTTGTCTCTATTTTGCAAAAATCCTTTCTTTAATGTGCCATTCTGATCTAGTTCATAAAGAAAATATACTTGGGTCTGCTTTCATCTGACAGTCATGTAGTAAACTGAAAAGAATACTGGTCTCTTCCCACGAACCTCCACCTTACTGGCAAAGTAGAAACAGCACAGCAGAAAGAACGGGAGGGTCAGAAAGATCTGGGTTCATCCCTTGTTCTGCCTTTCCCCAGCTGTGTGATTTGGGCGGACTGTTTAATCTCTTTCAGGCCATTTTCTCATCTATAAGATGAGGGAGGAATCAGATACAAAGAATGCACATAAGGATTTTAACATTACAGGACTTCTTTGGTGGCCCAGTAGATGGGACTCTGCCTGCCAATGCAGGGGACACCAGTTCAATCCCTGGTCTGGGAAGATTACACGTGTCGCGGAGCAACTAAGCCCTTCCACCACAGCTTCTGAGCCCATGCTCCAGAGCCCATGAGCCGTTAACTACTGAGCTTGTGTGCAGCAACTACTGAAGCCCAGAACCTACAGACGTACTCTGCAACAAGAGAAGCCACCAGAATGACAAAAAGCCTGCGCACCACGACAAAGACCCAGTGCAACGAAAAATAAATTAAGATAAAAAAATGTTTTAACATAAATGTCTTTGTTAGCACTCATCATAGCATTCCGAACACAGTGCGAAACAACATACAGCCTCAGGGAGAAAACAGAGCTAGCGGAAGGAACCCTAAGGGGAAGGCACTGTTACCTATGAAACGATGATAATAATTCCTACCTCAAAGTGGTATGGGGATAAATGAGTTAATACATATAAAGCACTTAGAATAGGGTTAGGTAGATATAAAGGTGTTAATTGTTCAGTTGTGTCCGACTCTTTACGACCCCATGGACTGTAGCCCGCTGGACTCTTCTGTCCATGGGATTCTCCAGGCAAGAATACTGAAGTGGGTTGCCACTCCCTTCTCCAGGGGATCTTCCCGACACAGGAACTGAACCCCAGTTTCTTGCATAGCAGGCAGATTCTTTACCATCTGAGCCAAAGCATTCAATGAAAGTTAACTATTATTATTAGTTATTAGAATAATAAGGCAAAAACGAGACATTCCCTAAGAATCTGAAAATAAGAAATAACAGACACGAACCAGAAAAGGACATAAAAAAGTTCCCCTGAAGAGGGGACTATAACTCTTAGACCAGAATAAAACATCACTAAAGATAATAATGAGCTTAGAGAGTAGGTCACTCAGGAAGGGAGTTGTCACCAATGGAAACAAAGTGATGTAGTGACTACAGGAAGGCCTACCAGAATATTGTCTGGGGATGAGGCAGACTTAGTCTACATATTTTGAGCACTACTGTCCCTTGGACACAGCCATCCCAGTAACAGAGATGGAGGCATCAGGTTCCCCTAGCCTGAGAGCATTAAAAATTCCAATTATATGACTACTTCCTCTTGTCTCAAAACTCCATGGTCACTCAGCACCCTCTGATTACAAGCTCCCTGAACAGCTTATGCTGAGAAGAGTAGCACTCTGCTATAGGCCCCACTGTGAAATAAGAGGTAGACACTGTGGCTTTACACATCATCTCTGCAAGCTCAGTCAACTTCAGTCATCCCTTAGAAGTGGAAGCTTCCTCCAAATGAAAGAAAGAAAAATCAACCCTCTAAACCACTTGACAGAAGGGGACTGACAATGGTAATGCCATGCCACGATCCTGGCAAACAGCAAGCTGCTCCCTAAGACATCCCAACCTTGCCACTGGGTATCTCTCTCAGAGCACCAATGGTATATATCCAACAAACATCCGTTCAACAGCGAGCATCGTGCCCTGTACCACATATTTTACCTGCCTGCCTCACTCTGACCTGAGAAGCACTAACTGAGCAGTACCTTCTTCTCTTTCTCTAAAATCATTTGATCCTTCTGATGCAGCATCTTCTTCAGAGTGGCTACTTCCTCCTTCAGTTGGGCAATGATGACAAAGTGGTCAGTGCCTGGTGAGTCCAGAGCCAGATCTGGGGAAAAGCTGAGGGGAAAAATGGAGGGGGAAAATATCAGTTGGACGCATAAACTTTTTTCTACCTGAGGTCACATTATAGTCCACTTGACTGCAACTTCAAGAGCAGGAGCAACTAGTTGAATCTCAGCCATCAAGCACAATACACATCCGACTTGGGAGTATTTGCTAAACTGCACAGGCAAGGTGGCCATCAGGTAACTATACCAACCAAGGCCACAACCTGCAGCATTCCCGCAGCATCTCTGCTCACGGGCATGCTGTGCATGCGTGCTAAGTCACTTCAGTCGTGTCCGACTCTGCGACCCCATGGACTGTAGACTGTCAAGTTCCCATCCATGGGGACTCTCCAGGCAAGGATATCAGAGCGTGTGGCCATGCCCTCGTCCAGGAGATCTTCCCAACCCAGGGATCGAACCCGTGTCTCCTATGTCTCCTGCACTGGCAGGTGGGCTCTTTACCACCACCGCCACCTGCAAAGCCCATCTTTGCTCACATTCAGGACTAAAATAAATGCCACCTCATAAGAGCCAAAGATATTCTGTTTCAGGTCCATTGAAGATCCCTAGTTATTGTGGGTGAGAGTCATAATTTTTTGTGATCAGATAATTTCTCTAGAATCTGGATAAATTGTAATTTCATGCATTCTTCTTTAAAGATCCCCATAGAGATTTTGACTCTGTTTTCTGCTCCAAATCCCATGATGTGGTACAGCTGCTGAGAAGCTGCTGCTTTCCATCTCAGTTATAATCTTTTAAAAAAATGATAAAAAAAGAAGACGAAGTTAACAGAAAAGAAGCCAACTTCCCCTACTACAATTGGCCTGTGCACTGTCACTTCCAGTATCAAGAATTCTGTGATTATTTAGTTAGGAAAGGAACAAAAAGGCGGCAAACTGCAAAGTAACATCACAACCTGGGTCGTCAGCAGAGCCCTTCCTGTGACGGCCTCTGAGCACTACATTTCATCAAAGTGCCAGGCGAACTCTGTCCTTTTGGTCGAGTGTCTTAACCACGAAAGTTTCAGGCAATCTATAAGCCCCCGAGATTGTATATGCAATTCTATGCATACATACAACGGGGTGGTTTCTAGGATGGGGATCCGAGGCTCTCCTTAGTCTGGTCAGAGGTGTCTTAGACCCACACAAGTTAAGAAATCACTGCCAACAGAGTTAAATCCTACCCTTCTCTAGAGACCTACCCAAAGGAAACTCTTTACTTCTCACAGGGCAACCTGTAAAGTAAAACACAAACCGGTTTTTCCTAGAAAACTGCAATACTGATTCCCAACACCCTGTATCAATATAGCAACTACTCCAGATCCCCCTTGCTGTTAGATCTTTCCTACACTTTGAACATCTAATAATCATCGATTTTCTACACAGGTAGAACTCCAAATAACACGGTGAACTGCTGGACAAACCTCCTCATAGTTACCAAGTTAAGTGTTTCTATGGCTAGAATGGGAAGACAGTCCATTGATAAAAATATTCTGCCCTCAGTCTACACGAAGCACATGAGAAGGATGTCAGAGGAACAATGGATCACTGCTTTGCTAACTGATAAGTATGCAGAATTACTGGGTAACAAAAACATGTAAAATAATAAAACAAGGCATGTAGGAGAAAATATTGAAAGGATCCATCACAGTCTCCACCAGTTTCCAAACTTGCTAAGGGACTGTCTTCCCTCAACCCAACAGAATCTATTTAAACCCATAACCCGAGTGACAAATGAAACGGAGTAATGGCTAATATGCTCTACCTGCTTCTTTAACTCAAATATAATTGACATACAATATTATGTTAGTTTCATACATAATATGACACTGCATATATCACAATCACTCTAAGTCTAGTAAACATCTGCCCCATAAAAAATTATTACTGACTACATTCTTTATGTTGTATGTTACATCCCCGTGACTTATTGATTATATAACTGGAGGTCTACAGCTCTTAATCTCCTTCACCTGTTTTGCCTATCCCCCCACCCCCCAACCTTCTGGCAACTACCTATTTGTTCTCTGCACCTATGAGTATGTTTCATTTTGCTTTGCATTTTAGACTCACATATATGTGAGATCACACAGTACTGGTCTTTCTCCAACTTATTTCACTTAGCATAATATCCTCTAGGTTCATGTAGGTTGTTGTAAATAACAAGATTTTGTTTTTTATGACTGAGTAGTATTTCATTGTTTGTGTACACACACACCCCCCACACACACCCCATAGCTTTTTAGCCATTTGTCTATCAACAGTCATTTAGGTTGCTTTCATTATCTTGGCTATTGTAATTAACACTACGGTGAACACTGGGATGTATACATCTTTTTGAAATAGTGTTTCTGTTTTCTTTGGATAACTTACTAGAAGTGACATTGCTGGATTATATGGCAATTCTGATTTTTTAAGGTACCTCTATACTAGCTGCTTCACCAACTTACAATCCTACCAAGAGAGCTGCTGCTGCTAAGTCGCTTCAGTCGTGTCTGACTCTATGTGACCCCATAGACGGCAGCCCACCAGGCTCCCCCATCCCTGGGATTCTCCAGGCAAGAACACTGGAGTGGGTTGCCATTTCCTTCTCCAATGCAGGAAAGTGAAAAGTGAAAGTGAAGTCGCTCAGTTGTGTCCGACTCTTAGCGGACTCCTCCATCCCTGGGATTTTCCAGGCAAGAGTACTGGAGTGGGGTGCCACTGCCTTCTCCGACCAAGAGAGCACAAGAGTGCTATTGTCTCCACATCCTTGCCAACACTTATCCGACAGCTGTTCTGATATGTGTGAGGCAGTAGCTCGTTGCCATTTTGATTTGCATTTCCCTGATAATTAGCAATACTAAGCATCTTTTCAGGTGACTATAGGCCATCTGTATGTTTTCTTTGGAAAAATGTCTATTCAGGTCCTCTGCTCATTTTTAAATAGAACTGTTTTCTTTTGTTTGTTTGTTTTTTTGATGTTAAAATATATGAGCTTTTTGTATATTTTCGATATTAACCATTATTGGATATATTATTTGCAAATATCTTCTCCCATTCAGTGGGTTGACTTTTCATCTTGTTTCCTTCATTGTGCAAAGGCTTTTGAGTTTGATGTAGTGCTCTGTAAAAGCAAAAGTAAAAAAATAGGACTACATAGCCTGAGGATACATACTCCAAAAAAACTGCTAAGACCGATGTCAAAGAGCCTATGTTTTCTTCTAGGAATTTAATGCTTTCAGGTTTTACATTTACATCTTTAGTCTACTTGGAGTTATTTTTGTAAGCAGTGTGAGAAAGTAGTCCAGTTTGATTCTTTTGCATGTAGCTGTCTAGTTTTCCAACACCATTCAGTGAAGGGGCTATCTTTTCCCTACTGTATACTCTTGCCTCCTCTGTTGTATAGTAATTGTCCATATAAATGTGGGTTTGCTTCTGGGCTGCTTATTCTGTTCCATCAGTCTCTGTGTCTGTTTCTGTGCCAATACCATGCTGGTCTTCTTGTTTTGTTTTTGGCTGAGTCAGGTCTTAGCTGCGGCACATGGGATCTTTCACTGTGTTGTGCAGGCTCTTCACTGTGGCACGCAGGAGTCTCTAGTTTAGTACATGGGCTCAGTAGCCCAGCAGCAATGTGGGATTTTAATTCCTCAACCAGGGATTGAGTTCATGTCCCTGCATTGGAAGGCAGATTTTTAAATACTGTTCCACCAGGGAAGTCCCCAACACCATACTGTTTTGATTACTGCAGCTTTGTAGTACAGTTTGCAATCAGAAAGCATGATGCTTTCAGCTTTGTTCTTCATCCTCAAGATAGATTTGACTCTACCTGCTTCTTGAGGGAAGATTCTTCCCATATCAATAAATTGCTGACAAATCTCAATGCGTCTTTCCTGTGTAGGGACTGTACTGTCTAATTCTGTAACTCCTGATGAATAAGAATTGCTGGGAATCAAAATGAAAAGAGATGGCTAGGTTACTAAGGCAGAAAATCAGATCTAGTCTCTTTCTAAACACTGCCAAAGACAGGGAACTTGCTATTTATCCAGGAAGCTTGTCTTTTCCAAAAACATCTTTTCTCAGGCTGAGCCAAAATCTGCTCGTCAGTCCCATCCATTGGTCCTGGATCTGTCCTCAAAGGCCACACAGAGTTAAGTCTAATCTTTCAGGTGTATTTTAGAGGGAGAACACAATAAAATGATAAGGAAAGGAAAAGAATGTCTTTTAGAAACAATAAACCACAAGATGTGCCTAGAGGTCATTGTTCATTGCCCATCAAACAATAAACAAATATGATCAAAAAGTGCATTTCTCAGGAAAGGAAAGCTAGAAATGAACTTGAATTTTCTTCAAAATAATTTTGAAGAAACTATATAATTTTGACAAACCATAAAATATTGAGATGGAAGCTGTGAATTTCATAGGATACTAAAAAAGATTAAAGCATTTTCTAAGTATAAAACCATGAGAAAAATGTGTTTTTTTAAAAAAAATTATATAAAGTAATGGGTTCTCTCCATATGATACGAAAGGCTAATGAATAAAGAAAAAGAGAAAAATCAAATATACCTCAATATTTAAAAAATAAATAAGAGGACTTCCCTGGAAGTCCAGGGATTAACATTCTGCACTTCCACTGCAGGGCTCTCAGGTTTGATTCCCTGAATAGGGAACTAAGATCCCACATGTCATGTGTGAGGCCAAAAAAAAAACTGAAGAAATATGGTAGTATATGGTCAATGGAAAACTGTTAGGGAACAATCTTCTGAAGACATGAGAGGATAAAAATGAAAGAATAAAAACATAAATTTAAAAGTAGATTGTGATTAAAAACTGAGAGGGAGTCACAATAGACAGTAAAGAAACAAAACTGGTAACATTTACTATGGAACTGAATTCAAAATAGATATTCAGTAAAAAAATTTTTTTGGTTTCCATGACATTAAAAAAAGGACTGTTCATGGAGAAGGAAATGGCAACCCACTCCAGTATTCTTGCCTGGAAAAGTCCATGGACAGAGGAGCTTGGCGGGCTGCAGTCCATGGTGCTACACGACTGAACACACGTGCATGAGGGTGGAGGGAGATGGGTTGGTAGCAATAAACTGGTAGAACCAAAAAAAATGAAGAACAGTTCAAAAAATGTCTTGGACCTCCTCAGTGGTCCAGTGGTTAAGATTCCACACTTCCATTGCAGGGGGTATGGAGTCAATCCCTGGTCAGCCAAAAGAGAAAAAAAAAATTTTTTTTAATGTTTTTAAAGTCTTGTCAGAATGTTTCCCAAGTGAAGGAAAAGCATGGGAAAAAAGTAAAAAGGGGAAAAAAGTAAAAAGGGAAGAAAAAACGTAATTTACCTTGTATATAAACTTTTAAAAGATATGCAAATAAGTAGAATAGATTAAGATTGCTAATGCAGGAACAGTGAAATGGAACTTGCATATGTATGTAAATAATTTTCATGGCTGCAGAAAAATTTTTTCCAAATTTTCAAGTTATTAGGCTGCTACTTTTTAAATTACCATGTATATTTAAAGAAAAAATTATTTTTAAACTTTCCCAGAGGACATTATGAAAGACCATGCACCTAAGTTAAGGATCAGCATCCTACTTGAGGAAAACAATCATTGCTGGTAACCCCAATGCAATAAAACACTCTGAACAGAAAACTTAAAAGTCTTTGGCTTGGTGAAGCCATAGCAATAGTCAGCAAAAACAGTGGCAGTATCTCAAGAACAAAATGACCTAACAGAAGGCAAACTTTAAGGCCTCTTGGTTAAACTAAAGGCTATGAATGAGCTTTTTCTGGGTCATTCAAACACAGCCCACATCATAAACAGCACAAAACAGAAATGATGAATCTAAAGTCTGTGGGTCTTGGTTTAGGCTTTCATAAAGCAGGGCATTCAGAATGGTTCATTCCCTGAAGTAGTTTTTATAGGATCATGCATCCTGGCAGACGTGATAGGACAATCAGTGCCACATCCATTTTCTTCAGAATGGTCAAACTAGCTGCTCAGAGAACAAACAGTAACAGTAAAGCTAACCAGAAAGATGATCTTTATGGTTCCTTCCCCAATGTAATCAGAATATCTAAATCAAGCATTTCTAGAAGGATCAATTCAAGAAGTTTAAAGTCAGTGATACCTGAAATACAAAGAGAGTCTGCAGAGTCTCAAATCAAGTTAATGAAAAAGCCAACATCATAGATGCTATGTATACCCCCCTAAATAAACAAAATTCAGCCCCAGTAAGCCTATATGCTGGTCTGCTCCCATATCCACCACTGTCTGGGAGAGAGAAGGGAGAATGGGAGTTTTCAGAATGGAGATGATTCCAAGGATTTTAGGGATGAGTGTGCCAGGTGGTCTCACTTCAGAATGCTCAGCCTGGAGGAACAGGCCCCAAGACTCTGTTGAGAAGCAGCCCACTACACCAACATAGATGGGACATCCTGGATATGAGGAGAAAATAGCTCATAAATGGAAGCATCACTAAGAAGGGAAGGGGAAAGTGAGGAATAAAAATGCATTTAGAAAGGCTTAAAATGAAACAAAAATATTTAAATGCATCTCCTTCCCTCCTGATTCAGCATTTGCATTGGGTTCTCTCTCTTAAGGCTAAAGAAGCATGGATTATCCCTCATAGACTGAGCAATACTGCTTTAATTCTAAATTGTCAGGAACTCCCTGGTGGTCCAGTGGTTAAGACTGAGCACTTTCACTGCCACAGCCAGGGTTCAATCCCTGGTCGTGGAACTAACTTTCTGAAAGCTGTGCGATGTGGCCAAAAAAGAAAAATTTCCAATTTGTCTCTGTTTTGCCTCTGCAGACCACCTCCTGCCCTGCCTGGAGAAGGCTACAGGCACAGATCACAATTAAAAACCATGTCTTGGAATTCTTGTGAGGAAGTTATTTGTGGACTACAGAAAATTCAACTGCTATTAAATCCAGTTATATGTTCTAGACAAGATTATATTTATGAACTAATATCAGTATTGTTTATTTATAAGATATCAAGAGGTTAGTGTATCCCTGAGAAGTTCACTAACAACCATAAACTAGCTCCATGACATCCTAAAATGTATTCCTGTTTCAGGAACTGTGTATGCATTTCAAACAGAAACATGCACACACACTTGAACTGGCTTACCTATCTCCATTGGTTGTGATCGACTCAAACTTGGATTTTTTCTTTGGGATTTCATTTTGAATTGAAGACGTAGAAAGGGTTTTCTGACTTTTAATGGCAAAAAAGAAAAGAGAGAGAGAGAAAGAGAGATACACACACTTTAGAAATCAAAGATTAATAAAACATCACAATGAAAGTCTTGTCAAATGGGACCAACATAATATTGTACCTATTCTATGCAAGAGTTAATTATTTTTGATCATCAAAATCCACCCGTCTTAATTCCATAGGTGCATGGGTAGTTCATTTCTATAGTCCTTCCCCAAATTTTTAGCTGTGATTAAATATTATCTGCTTTATTAACAACTATGAGAATAAGTCAATAAAACCTCAATCAGAAGCATAATCCATCTTACAATTTAAAAAGTACTTTCACATTCATTGTTCCCCATGCATCTTATAATACTGTGAGGCATATACAAGGGATTATTTCTATTTTGCAGAAACTGAGGCTCATCGAAGTTAACTGACTTACCCAGGGATATACAGCTAGCTAGCAGTGAAGCTGGGCCTAGACAGCTTTACATATTTGAACACCAAGTCCAGTTCTTCTTCACTCTGTTTCTGTAAATCTTCTAGTATCTAAGAGTCTCATGACAACCCTAAAGATCAGTTTTAGTCCCTAAAACTAGTCTGCAATCCTTTTATTTTGATGGATGTAAAATTGCCAAGTCCAAAGGATTTTTCAGACCTTTTCTTATTGCCCTCTTTTCAATATCTGATACACTGATCATGCCTTCTCCCCATCATGTCCAACTTTATAACTGACAAATGTAACTGTACATTAATTAAAATGTATGAGGTGACAATTTTATATGTATTATAGAATGATTACTACCAAGATCAAGATAATTAATACACCCATCACCTTGCATACTTGATTTTATTTTTTGGCTGTGCCACGTGGCTCGTGGGATCTTAGTTACCCAACCAGGGATTGAACCTGTCCCCACTGCAATAGAAGCGCAGTGTCCTAACCACTGGAATGCCAAGGGAATTCCATTTTATTTTTTTTTAATGGTGAGCATGCTTGAGATAGCATCACCAACTCAATGGACATAAACTTGGGCAAACTCCAGCAGACAGTGAGAGACAGGGAGGCCTGGCGTGCTGCAGTTCATGGGATCACAAAGAGTCAGATATGACTTAGGGACTGAACAACAATATGCTTAAGACCTACTCTCGGCAACTTTAAAGCATACAGTCACTGAGCTGTACATCAGAACTCAGAACTACTCCTAATAAAGTGTGTACCCTCTAACCTACACCTCCCCATTTCCCTCTCCTGTTGCACCTGGCAACCACTATTCTATTCTCTATTTCTATGAAATTAGTTTTTAAGATTCCACATAAAAGTGAAACTACATGGTGTGTGTCTTTCTCTCTCTGGCTCATTTCACTTACCACATGCCTTCCAGGCTTATCTATGTTGTAGCAAATAGCAGTATTCCCTTCCTTTTTTATGGCTGGATATTCCATTGAATGTATATACCATACTTTCTTCAAACATTCATCCCTCCAAGGACATTCAGGTTGCTACCATATATTAGGTATTGTGAATACATGAATAGAAATGCTGATTTCAGTTCCTTCAGATATATACTAAGAGTGATTGCTGGGATCATATGATAGTTTTATTTTTAATTTTTTGAGCAAACACCACACTGTTGAGTTCTTTATATATTTTGGATATTAACCCTGATTAGAGATTTGGTTTTCAACTCACTCCATCCTTTCTTGAGTGCTTCTATAAACTGTTTTCAGTCTCCAGCCTAAGTTGTATAAGTCAAGAGTATAGTTTTAACAACTATTATAGTGGGTGGAAATGATGTTCCCCAATCATCTGCATGAGAATCAGCTAAGAGGTTTATAAAACAAAGCAGATTCCTGGATTCCATCCTAGATCCTAACGAATTAAACTCAGGTAGGGCCACAGAAATCCACATTTTAAAATTAGCTCTGCTACCACCGACTCTTATATGCTACCAATGGCTCATGTTCAAACCTCTTCTGAATTATAGCCTAACCTCCTACTAAATAATAATCTTTTTAAATATCAGATCTTAGTTTCTTGCTACTTCCAGAACATCTTACTTTTGACTGGGCACAGACACAGAGATCGAAGATCTCAGAGGATAGCTTCTATTTCTTGACAATCCGTTCCTTGCATTTTTCTTTGGCCTCCTTCGTTCTCTTGGCCAAAAGTTTAGCATATTCTGCAGCCTCTTCCTTATTTTCTTATTCTCTTCCTTATTTTCTTCCTTATCTTCTGTTTCTTCAGAGCAATATGCTGACATTTGTGCTGCAGAACATGTGGAGTAAAAAGATGCTGAATTTTGGGTGCTTTGGTCCTAGTTTTCTCATCATCTCGGGTTCAAGGCTTTCTCACAATATACTGGTGGACATTATCTTTACTTCAGTCAGTTCAGGTGCTCAGTCATGTCTGATTCTTTGTGATTCCACAGACTGCAGAATACCAGGCTTCCCTGTCCATCACCAACTCCTGGAGCCTGCTCAAACTCATGTCCATCGAGTTGGTGATGCTATCCAACCATCTCATCCTCTGTCATCCCCTTCTCCGCCTGTCTTCAATCTTGCTGAGCATCAGGGTCTTTTCCAGTGAGTCAGTTCTTCGCATCAGGGGGCCACAGTATTGGAGTTTCAGCTTCAGCATCAGTCCTTCCAATGAATATTCAGGACTGATTTCCTTTAGGATTGACTGGTTTGATCTCCTTGCAGTCCAACGTACTCTCAAGAGTCTCCTCCAACACCACAGTTCAGAAGCATCAATTCTTTGGCACTCAGCTTTCTTTATGGTCCAACTCTCACATCTATACATGACTACTAGAAAATCCATAGCTTTGACTAGACGGACCTTTGTCGTCAAAGTAATGTCTCTGTTTTTAATATGCTGTCTAGGATGGTCATAGCTTTTCTTCCAAGGAGCAAGCATCTTTTAATTTCATGGCTTCAGTCACCATCTGCAGTGATTCTGGAGCCCAAGAAAATAAAGTCTGTCACTGTTTCCATTGTTTCCCAGTCTATTTGCCATGAAGGGATGGGACCAGATGCCATGATCTTCGTTTTTTGAATGCTGAGTTTTAAGCCAGCTTTTCCACTCTCCTCTTTTACTTTCATCAAGAGGCTCCTCAGTTCCTCTTCGCTTTCTGCCATAAGGTGGTGTCATCTGCATATCTGAGGTTGTTGATATTTCTCCTGGCAATCTAGATTCCAGCTTATGCTTCATCCAGCCTGGCATTATGCATGATGTATACTGCATGTAAGATAAATAAACAGGGTGACAATATACAGCCTTGACGTACTCCTTTCCCAATTTGGAACCAGTCTGTTGTTCCATGTCCATCCAGTTTTAACTGTTGCTTCTTGATCTGCATACAGATTTCTCAGGAGGCAGGTAAGGTGGTCTGGTATTCCCATCTCCCTAAGAATTTTCCACAGTTTGTTGTGATCCACACAGTCAAATGTTTTGGCATAATTAATGAAGCAGAAGTAGATGTTTTTCTGGAACTCTCTTGCTTTTTCGATGATCCAACAGATGTTGGCAATTTGATCTCTGGTTCCTCTGCCTTTTCTAAATCCAGCTTGAACATCTGGAAGTTCTCGGTTCACATACTGTTGAAGCCTCGCTTGGAGAATTCTGAGCATTACTTTGCTAGTGTGAATGCACTGGTCATAGCAAACACCCTCTTCTAACAACACAAGAGACGACTCTACACATAGACATCACCAGACGGTCAATACTGAAATCAGATTGATTATATTTTTTCCAGCCAAAGAAGGAAAACTCTATACAGTCAGCAAAAATAAGACCGGGAGCTGACTATGGCTCAGATCATGAACTCCTTACTGCAAAATTCAGACTTAAATTGAAGAAATGAGGGAAAAACACTAGACCATTCAGGTATGACCTAAATCAAATCCCTTACGATTATACAGTAGAAGTGACAAATAGATTCAAGGAATTAGATCTGATAGACAGAGTGCCTGAAGAACTGTGGACAGAGGTTTGTGACATTGTACAGGAGGCAGTAATTAAGATCTTTACTTCAGAGATTATAAAGTTTTCAGACTCTAGCTCTTGGGCCCCAGGTGGAGTCACAGTAGTACCAGTAAATCTAGGAATATCCTCCTCTCTCTTTTTAACAAAGACCAAATTGAGGACAGTCAGACTGGCATTCACAATGCAACCTCATACAGATTTGCTCTTTCCTTCTCATCTTCCTTGGTCTGTAACAGGAATACTCTTCAACTCAGTAGCAGGTGGACACTACTATGGGTTGACACCCTGCTTCATGGTTCTTTGCTTGTCATTTCCACCACCGATTCGAACCACATAATCCCTCCATTCTTTATCTGGAGCATCAAGAGCAACTTCCACAGCCACGAACTTCTCACAGACAGTACAAAGTCTGTGTTCACTGTCCACTGCAGTGAGTTTCCGGCAGCCAGTGGCTGCCAAAGAGATGTTCTGCTTCACCCTGAAGCAGCTGATAGCCTCAAAGGTGCCACGTAAAAGAGCTAAATAGTTCTTGACACTTCAAACTCAACTTTCCAAAACTGAACTTCTTTTTTCCCCTTCCGATAGCCTCTCAGATTAAGGATTCACTCACTCACCCCAGTAAGAAACCTGAGAATTATCCTTTATCCACCCAGATCCTGCCCATCTGTCTGTTCATCAGATTACCTAAATTACATGTAATTCTCCTTCTGAAATGTCTTCCTGAATCTACCTCTTCAATCTTTAGTGCCACTGTCTGAGGTTCTCTATTAACATCTCTTTCTGGACTCTTACCAAAAAAGCTTCTTAACTAGCCCCCAGCCTCTTTTTCCTCCAGTGCATTCTTCACAATAGTCTGGGTTAATCTTTTTTTTTTTTTAAAGGTAGATTTGGTCCCTCCCCAACACAGGTCCTTTCAGTGTCTTCCTATTAAAATTACTAACATCAAGTTCATGTTACTTACCAGTCTGCTGGATTCCTTTCCATCCCACTTTACAGCTCCCAACCATAAGCTCCAGCAAAATAAAAGGATTTGCTGTTCCTAACTTCCATGTGGTCTTATGCCCTCCATGTCTTTGCAGTTGCTATTCCCTCAGCCTAGGATGTCTCCGCCCATTCCTTATCTGACTTATCCTAAGATCTAGCTCCAATGTCAGCTCTTCTCTGATCTTTCATTGTTTGACCTCCCAAGGCAGTTAATTACCCCAGCCTCTTACCCTGTATCTTGACATGCTTTAACTGTGACACCCTTAGATTATCCTGCAATAGTTTGATTACAGGTCTGTCTTGCCTACCAGGCTGCATACTCTTAGAAAACAGAGTGATTCTTTTTACTCATCTCTGCATTCCTTGCAGAGAATCTGGTCCATGAAAGTAACTAACAATGAACAAACAAAATCATAAAGGTAATGATAACAATGCATAACTATCATGTACTGAAGCTTCCTATATGCCGGTTATAAAACTAATCACTATGCACATACCATATAATTTATTTTCACAGCAACTCCATGAGTTAATATTATTTTCCTCATTTTACAGATGAAAAAACTTACCCAAGATCCTGTACAGAGAACCTGGCAGACCCAGGATTCAATCCAAAGTCAGAACTCTTAACAACACAACAGATACTCTGAAAGGAAGCTTAAGACAATGAAGGGACATCATTGTGACTGGATCTTATAAGGACAAACCTAGAATATCTATCAATCTCCTAGCCAAATATGCATAAGAAAAGTTGCATTTCCTCAGACTGTGAAAATGTCCAGTCTTCTCGGGAGAAAACCCACTCTTAACGGTGGGGAGAACACAAACTTTTAAAACACAACACAAACCAAGTCAGAAAACCCTAATGCCTTACTCTCTGGCCCTTGGATGATATATGAATTATAAAATACATCAAAGGAGATTCCCTCTATAGATTAGCAACTAGAGAGAAAATACGAAAATTTGGACAAAATGGTATCTTCCATGACTACTTGTGTATTACATCTGACCTCCCAGAACCTCTCGTTCTATCTCAAGCATCTTGGGGTTACCTGTTGTAATGGCTACCGCCACTCAGTCGACTATACTGCTCCTTCTCCTGGTGGCTAGCACGGGAAGAGCTGCTCAGGTGCTTCCTCTGCTCTTTGGTCTTCTGAAGGACCCGTTTGTATGAAAGCGTGCATAGCCAGCATAGCAATTTCCCATCTACCTGAAAGATGAGGAGACAAAGATAAAGAAGGAATGTGCTAGTGCGGAGGCTGAGAACATGGGTACTAGGAGCTAGAACTTCTGGTTAAGTCTGGATCTGCCACTTATGAACTGTGTGACCATATAAGTCACCCGGGCACTCCTGGTGTCAATTTCTTCATCTATAAAATGAAGGATAATAATATGTACCTCAGAGGGCTGGTGCAAGGATTCAGTAACATAATGGAGGTAAGCATGGTGCAAGGTACATAAAAAGTGCTTAATAAAATATGACCTGGGGACTTCCCTGGTGGTTCAAGTGGTGAAGGCTCTGTGCTCTGTGCTTTTCTGCAGGGGGCACAAGCTCAATCCATGGTTGGGGAACAAACACCCTGCATGCCACGGGGTGTAGCCAAATTTTTTTTAAATATGCCAATTATATGTATTTTTTTATTTTGTTTTTCTTCAACTTAACACACACCAGAGCAAAGTTCCCACAAGAATTTCAAAAGACCCAAATATCTCCATAGTTCTCACCAAGGAAAATACAGCAGGGAGAAGATAAAACATAAAATTTGTACTTTAGCTTTCATACCTTATAGATGACTCATAAAGTGGTATGCTGGATATCTTTTTTTTTTTTTTTTTTGATATCTTTTCTCAGATGGAAAGAAGGTTTCCAGAAAAAGACTGATGGGAAGTAGCTTCCAAGGCCCCAGTCCCTGGTGGTGACTACTATGGCACTTTGTTGAATCAGAAAAAGTCGATCACTTTGGGCAGAAGCATCTCTACACCAAGGTGCAGAGCATAGGGCTAGGAAAGCAAAAATGGGGCTTCCACAATCCTCTGAAGCTGGGGCACCTCTGTACCGCACTCAGATTGCAAAACTGAGTTTGTGAAGTGGCCTCATACAAGTGGCAGGGCAGCAGAGCTATTAGCTCACACTTGGGAGGGTATGTGCTGAAATTTTATGGAATTTTAGTTTGGGGAGTTTTAGTTTTAGTTTTGGGAGTTTAGTTTTTAGTTTTGTCTTACCTCTAAATTAGACCTTCTGCCCTCTTTTGAACATGGGTAGGTAAGCCATACCATCATTTATCTGAAGTATTTTTTAATCTTGTTAGCAAAAGCCTTTTTGCCCCTCACTCTCCTAACCTATTACATTAGCAAGTCATTGGTCTGATCTATTCACTTCTTTCCAACTCTGCTGCTTCCACCCAAGCAAAATCATTCTTATCTCTCACAACTACAAGACTCACACAGGGACTTCACTGGTGGTTCCGTGCCTAAGACTCCACACTCCCAGTGTAAGGGGCCCGGGTTTGATCCCTGGTCAGGGAACTAGATCCCACATGCCATGACTAACAGTTTGCACATCTCAATTAAAGATCCCACGTACTGCAACTAAGACCTGGCGTAACCAAATAAATAAATATTTTAAAAACTGACTCACCCAAATGACCTCTCTGTTCTTCTATCAACCATTTCTACATAGGTACCAGAGGACTTCTTAAATGTAAATCTGATTATAACTCTCCTCACCTTAAAATCTTAAATTATCTTATATAAAAATTTAAATTTTTTACCATGGCGTATGTTGACTTAAATGTAGCCCCTACTTGCCTTTATAATCTCATTCCCTTGCTCACGCTGCCTCCTTCTTTTATTTATTTGGCTGCACTGGGTCTTAGTTGTGGCATGTGGGATCTCTGACCTTCACTGCTGCATGTAGGATCTTTGATTTTCTTTGCGGCATGTGTGATCTAGTTTCCTGACCAGGGATTGAGCCCTGACTCCTGCCCTAGCATTGGGAGCTCGGAGTCTTAGCCACTGGACCATCAGGGAAAGCCCCCAGGCTCATCGCTCTTGCCTCAGGGTTTTTTCATAGCTGGTCTCTCTTCCCAGGATCTTTGCCCTCCAGAGATCCCTACTGCGGCTTCCCTCTCGTCAAGTTCAGTTTCCGGTCTGATGTGATCTCCCTGCAGGTCCTCCTGAGTGCCCCATCTAAACTGGCCTCCCCAGTCACTCTCTACCAGAGACCCTGTTTCCTTATAGCACTTACATCTAAAACCTGTGTTCACTCAACTCCTTGTTTGTTCTCATCTGTCTCCTACATACATAGATAAAACCTGAGAGAATAAAGTGTCTTCTGCTTAGTTCATTAGTGTATTTTCAATACCCAGAACAGTGTCAGCATGTAATTATTTGTTAATGGATGCATATATGAATTTTGAAACCAAACTTCAATGTGGTGCATTTCATGGTTATGGGATGTGGCCTAACGGCCTGATTTTAAAATACTCTAGGAGACCTTGCCCAGGAAAGAGCTTTCATTGAAGAAGGGTTTGAAAACAAAGCAAATGCATTGAAAGAGAGCATTAAACATGAAAATCAAATACTGAACCACAGGACACCTTATTTCAATCTTCCCTTAACAAATAAACTTTAAAAATAGAAAATTACCCTCTGAGAATTAAACTATCATAAAGAAATCATCATAGATAACACTGAGTACTTATCACATGCCAGATTCCTTTTGAAGGGGTTTACACCCAATAACTCAACCTTCATAACAATGCTGACGTCTGATCAGCCTCATTTACAGATGAGGAAACTGAGGCACTGATAGATTAACTTGACCAAAGTCATACAACAAATAAGTGACAGAACAAAGATTTCAACCCAGGCACTCTGTGTCCAGATTATGCATGCATGCATGGTCAGTCATTCAGATGTGTCCAACTCTTTGAGACCCTATGAACTGTAGCCTAACAGGTTCCTCTGTCCATGGGAGTCTCCAGGCAAAAAATACTAGAGTGGGTTGTCATTTCCTCCTCCAGGGGATCTTCCCAACCCAGGGAGCAAACCCACATTTCCAGAATTGGCAAGTGGATCCTCTACCACTGAGTCACCTGGGAAGCCCACTGAATCCAGATTATCCACCCTTAATCCCTAAAATTAGTCTTCCTTAAGTTTGTAAACAAGTGATTGAAGATACCTATAATTATGCAAACTCTAATCATAGGATTGTAACTAGAAAATAGAAACTTAATGAATTCTAAAGTAATCCAATTAATAATTACATAGGTACCATTTACTGAAGTACGGTGCTAGGCTCAAAATTAAGTGTTTTATATGACATATCTATATCAACTAAATCTCCTTATGCCCATGTGAAGTAGCTACTGTTATTCCCATTGTAAAGATGACAAAACTAATGCATAACAGGAGTAAGAACTTTGCCCATGATGATCCAGCTAAGCCAGGAGTGGGATGGAACCTACATTTGTGGGACTGAAAACCCTGTGCTCGCTCCAACTATTATATGTTACCTTCTGATTACTAATTCAGCTTTTCCAGTATCTTGATTCAGGGAAGAGGTGCCCTGGTTGGCAGGCAGGAGTACTCTAGTCGCTGGAAAGTTACTTCCTCCCATTGTAAATTAATGAATTGGGTTACAAGAATCAGCTTTTGAGAGACTAAGCCAACTCTGAAAAGCACCTCTGGACACTGAGAATTTCCATACAACACTCTTTCACTCAAACAATATTTATCAAGTACCTATTATGTGTCAGACTGCTGGGAACACAGCATGAAAACAAGATGGACAAAGAGCTCACAGTCCAGTGGGGGTAGACAAACATGTACGCAAATAAACAAGATAATTTCTCATGTTACATGCTATTGAAGACAATAAACAGAGTATATGATAGAGTGACTGAGAGTTAGTAAAGGTCTCTGTGAGAAGGTGGCAACTGAGCTGAGACCTGACATGAGGAACCAGTCATGACACTCTGGAGAAGGCTGTGTATCCAGCATACCAGCCAGCACAAATGAGACCAGCATGTCTGAAGGAGCCAAAGGTGGACAATGTGGCTGGACCAAGGGGAAAGAGGGGAGAGTAATGGATGATGAGACAGAGTCAGGTATGGGCCCTGCAGGCGATGAAAGGAGTTTGGGGTTTATCCTAAGTGCAAGCACTGGAGGGTTTTAAACAGACCAAATCTATACCATTTTAATTCCACCAAGGTACCATCATTCCACATAGACCTTTATCTGTATCGTCTTCTTGTGATCTTTTACTTCAACAGAGAGAAACATTTGAAGAGCCAGATTGTAAAACTAGTAATACACTTATCTTGCTTAAGTCACAATCTCTACAGTTTTGTAGAATTTTGCCAATCACCATTTCACTTATAAGGGATGTTAATCACTGTAATTTAGATTCTCATGAAACACTAACCCATGAAATGTTAGAACATAATGGTCCACATTTGATAAGTGAAGAAAAAAAAGCTGAAAAGTTTTTTCAAGGTGAATAACAATTGGGAGAGGAACTGAGAAATCAGTCTCTGTTACATGTCTTTTTAACACAGTTGGCCCATCTTAATTTCTCTGAAAGAAAAAAAGAAAAACACAGAGACTTACCTTCTTTCTATCATCTTTCCTGTCAAATGCACACTGCTGCTTGCACTGTTCACAAGAATACGGTGGTCCATACTTCTTCTCTGAATTTGTGCAACGCTGACACTTGTTGCCAATAAAAGCTGCGATTATGTTGCAATACTGACAAGGTTTGGGCTTTAAGAGAAAAAAAGGTGTCAAGTAAGTATATATAAAATACCAGTGCATTTTTTAATGCAATGATTTCTATTATACATGTTCACTAATCATTGCAAAAATGCATTCCCAACTTTATAAATTTCCTTTTACATTGATCAAACAAAGCCCAGTTTCTCATACCATGTAAAGTGTTTTTATGCACAGGACTATTTATTTTTAAATAAATAACAAAATCCATTAGCATACATGCTAGGACTTCTCTAACAAATTCAACAGAACTAGCTCTTTGGCGAAACCAGCAAGCACTTCCAAATTTCTGAAAAGGCCTCTTTGCATTATCAGTGTATAAACACATTGGGAGAATGCCTGCAAGAACTAAATATTAGCTAACTTTGAAAGAAAATACTAGATACATTTTTCTGAGAACATTTTTACATAACTAGGTCTTCTAATTAAAAAACTGTAATTATATTAACAGTTTGCAGAAGGCAAGGTCCCAAGAGACCAGACTACTCACTGTTAGGTATGGAGAAACCCTACTTACCGTTCCATACAACTGCACATTCTGAGCACATTTCTTGCATATAGTATTGGTTTTACTGTTAAGGAAGAAAGAGACACAAGGTTTTATAAGGAAAAAAAGTCATTTTACTTAGAACATCTCAAAAGTGATTCTTCTTAACTCCAAGGAATTTTCTCATTACTAAGGGCCAAGGTAAAAAATGGCTTGGATATTAGATTAACTGAAGGTTGAGTTATCTGGCCATGAACTCTTTTAATTCTTTTGTAGTTTTAGCTCAAATAAAATTAGGCTTTGGTTTAAGTGGAGAGTGAGCTGTTTCTGATTATGAAATTTCCAAGTATCACCAAGTAAAATTATCAGATGTGGAGAGGACCCTCAAAAGAAATATTATGTCAGACAAAAAATGTAGTGCTCACTTCGGCAGCACATATACTAAAATCAGACAAAAAATGTACTCAGAAATTAATCCTCCTTAATTCAGATGACCAGGTGAGAAATTTGAGATGAAGAATAAAGTATTGGTGTCTGGGGTATAAACTCAGAAATTCTATTCATGTTGACCTTACTCTGTCTACACTCTCCTCTGTAAGCAAAAGCATATGAAAATCACAGATGTGGGGAAATAGATGTGAACATTAAATATTTTTTCAATATTTCAAGTACTCTAGGAGCTAAGCACTGACAAAAATAAACACACCCTTTCCCTTATGAGGGGACTTCCCTTGTAGCTCAGTGAAGATCCAGGTCACAGTATTTCCAACTTGCCTAAATTGATAAACTGTCTTGGGGAAAAGAAATCATCTTCAAATAAAATCTTCACACAGGAAGGTACAAACAAATACCTGATGTTTAAGAACAGTTTAAACAATATTTGAGGGCCAAAAACAAAATCACATAAAAATCCAGTATATTCACTACTTTGATTTCTTCCCCCTACAATTCCTATCAAAGTGATTATAAAGTTAAAAGCCAGAAGAAATACCTCAACGTAGAAAACATTAAATTAAAATGAGATATTCAAACAAAATATTTCCCAGGGCAATTTTCTGCCACTTAAAAAAGGCAGTTCAGGGACTTCCCTGATGGTCCAGTGAGTTTAAAAAAAAAAAAAAAAGGCAGTTCAGGAAGTGAAGTACATTGAAAAAGACCTCTAGAAAGAGAATTAGCATCAGTGATACTGTGATGTTGAACATTTGGGTTTATCTCAGATTTATTACTCAAGGAGTGGGACGTATATAACAATATATATAAATGTTCTTGACCCCCCAGAAAAAAAATGCAAAAAAACCCTATTACTATAATTCATCTTGAATTAATTTTTATGTATGGTATGAATTAAGGTTTAAACTTCACATCTCACCCTACACACAAAAACTAACTCAAAAGGGAATCACAGGCCTAATGTAAGAGCTAAAATATAAAGCTTCTAGAGTATATTCTATATGTTTCCATTTATATGAAGTTCTAGAACAGGTAAAACTAATCTATGGTAGAAAGGAAAATCAGAACAGTAGTTGCTTGGAAAAAAGCAAGGAGGGTGGGGACTGACTGGGCTAGAGTTATAATCTCTGGGGTGACAGTAATGTTTATGTTTTGATGGGGTTTGGGGTAAAACAGATTTATACTGCTTGTAAAACTCATCAAATGATGCAAATAAGATGTGAGCATTTCACTGTGTGCGAATTTTACCTCTAAAAAAATTTAAAAACCATAAACAAATATTGAACTCTAGTTAATGATATGCATGCTGAAATGTTTAGGGTCAAGTACACTAATGTTCACAACTTTAAACTGTAAAATTTAAGTAGTGGGTAGATGAGTGTTTACAGTCTAGTGTCTTGGTTTGTTTTTTTGTTTGTTTGTTTGAAAATACACATAACAAAATGTTGGGGAAACAGTCCCGGAACTGAAATGATGCTGACTAAAATCAGGCTTCTAGGTCCTTGCATGAGCTAGCAAACAAGACCCCATCCTGCTTAAGGTAATATTACCTACAGCCACAGTTCCACAAAAAAGTTGAACTTGCTATACCACTAAATCACTCTGCTGCCATTAAAAAGTCCCCTGTAGATGTGTGCTTCATTCACACCCAGGTATTTTTCACACTTCTCAAAATGAGATTCACACAAGCTAAGTGTAAAGGCAAGTGAGTTTTTTCAAATGTGACTAGGGCTAACAAACCCTTTATCAGGATTGTCACATTTCCAAAAGTATCTTCTTTGGGCTTATAATTTCTTCAAACTCTGTATATAAACGTACTAGAACACAAGACTCATGTTTTCTGTTGTGGGGTTGCTTTCTTAGTGTCAAAAATATCAAAACCACAATATAAAATTATCAAGGATGTGAAAAATAAGTAACTAATAAGGTAAGCAATTAATGAATAACTAGAGAACAACATGTGTATTTTACATCCATTGTGTGATAACCGGAAATGGCAGAGCCTGCGTATAATGCAATTGATTACCTCTCTTGCTGGTATTCAGTCCTACAGTAGGTGCACTTCACAACAGGGTGTGCAATCCGACATTCCTGAAATGAAATGAGGATATAACTTTAAGCAGTCAGAAATGGAAACAGTCTTCAGTAGGAGGCAGAAGACCGGAGTACTATTCCAAGCACAAGCACTGTGCTTGACTGAGTCACTTTAACTTTCTGGGACTAATTTTTTTCGAGTGTAATACTGGCATTACCACCCTACACTGATGTGGGAGTTAAGTAAGAATTTATATGGAACTAGTCATAAATTGTAAAACAAAGGTATGAATAAGCCTCAGACATAAGGAATAAAAAGCCCTGAATTCTAGTCGGTTCTGCCTCTGCCATTCTGTGATTTTTCAGCAGGTTCATTTGTGAAATCAAAGTACTGGATAAAAATTATTATTGCTTACATACATAAAACTCCCTTAAAATCAAATACACACATACACACAAATATATATTTATATATTTAAGGCCAAAAAGACACTCAACTATTTGATTTTTGAGATCGCTCATACCTAGTTAACAAAAAGTGTCAAAGTTATGGCCATTTGAGGCAATAATGATTGCCTCAACACAATTATGAGTTATCCATAACAGAGACACAAACTCGATTAATCTGGAGATATCTCGACATCACTCTCCAGTCGGCTTAGTGACTTTTAACTGTCACCTCACAGCACCTCTATTCATTTAAATAGGCAAAACAAGATGAAGCAACTTAAACGAAAAAGAGAACTTGGACCTTCAAGGGTAAAAACTGATCAGCAGCTGGTTAGGGGGAAGACCGAAGGTCACTAACTAGACGCTGAAAAAATAATCCTTTTGCTTTATGCGCTTGATTGCGGGGCTTTATTATGAAGCCTGCCTACCTCTGACTCTGAAACTGACTGAAAAGTGCCCGTGAGAAGCCCGAGTTCGAGGCAATCCTCCCAGGCAGCACCCGACTCTGGAGTTTATCCCAGGTGGGGTAGGAGGTCCGTAAGTCTGAAGCCCATCAGACCCCGGCGAGGGTTGGGAGAAGCCAGCCCAAGAGGAATCTCCGGCGCCGCTGGTCCAGGGCGAGCCGGGGACCAGGTGTCCCCTCCCCCGACCTCACGGGGTCCGAGAACAATCCCTCACGGTTGCTAAGCACCCGGACACGCCGGCCGCAGGGACCTGGACGGGGCCTGGGTCTCCCCCACGTGCCCCGCCGACTCCCGGCGGGGCGGGTGCGGCTCCTCATATAGGCGGGCCTGCCACGCCCTGCCCAGGGGACCCCGCCGGGCGTCCCCGCAGAACCGGGAGATCCGGGCCGCGCCTCGAGCGTCCCAGTTCCCGGCCGCCGCCCCAGCCCGCGCACCTTGCACAGCTGCTGCCCCTGAGACAGCGCCTCGAAGGGGAAGCGCTGGTGGCACTTGGTGCAGGCGTAGAGCGCCGCCATGTCCGGCCCGGGCCGTGCTCACCGCCCCGCCGGCCCGGCCCGCCGCTTTATCTGACAGTCTGAGGCACAACCTGGCGGCGGCAGGCTGCGGGCTGCGGCAGGCAGGCGGGCCCTCGGGTGCGAGCGGACCAGGGCGGGAGCGGCAGCGCTAGATGCCCGTTCACTAGTTCACTTCGACGTCTATCAAGGGGAAAGGGGCGGAACATGGAGCTTGGTAGGACTCTGATTCGGTCTGGAGTGGAGTACGCCACTTATGACGCGCGCGGCCTCGATTATGTAAAGCGCAGTCACGCGGGGGCGCCGCTGGGAGGGACAGTCTCCCGCCCGGGACCTAGGAAGCGCTTAGGCCCCTCCCACTTCTCTCTCGGCTCCCGCCCTCGCTCCTCCTCTCTCCGCCGCAGGCGCAACCGCGCCTCTCGCGATACCTTCGCAGAGTTGTGATGTTTCAGTTTCCATGGAGTTGCCCTTTGGTAGCGTTTTGTGCCCAGTGCGGTGCATTGTTGAACTAGAACACGGTCGCCACCGCGAGCCTGAAGAAGACTGGGAGCTGGGGGAGCGGGCGGGGGCGGCGCTTGTAAGAAAATGACTCCAACCTCAGAGACAGAGGGTCCTGCACAGCCCTCTTAACTCGAAAAAGTAGCGGAAACAGGAGAAACAACTTAGACGGATGCTGTCTGAGATTCCTAAAAAAGAGGGACCTAGTCTAGGGTCTCTGACCTCCAGAGAGAAAGAGAAGCCCAAAGAAAGCACCTCTATTTTGTGGAAGAGAGGTGCTGGCCCCGCAGAAAGGAGAAGACAGATACTAAAGCGAGGCTCTCCACTGCTGAGAGTTCTTGTAACCTCGAGGACCCCTCCAAGTGTGAAGCAATTGGCCTGAGGCCTGCTCTCTACTGTGTCTTATCCAGTTGAACCCTCGGTTTATATCTCTCCAACAACCACCTGGCATTTCCTGGTTAGATCTGGCCACCGGAAAGCAAGCCACATCCTCCCCGCCACTCTGCCTCTTTCCAGTTCCCACTTCCAGTTCCCAGCCTGGTGCGTCTAGGGGCTGTCCAAGGAACTACAAAGTTTTATTCTTGAGACTTTGGCAAAGCTTCGTGCAGTGCTGACCTTTCCAAGTCTCTGCTTCATAGCTGCTCTGGGGCTATTACTCTGCCAACCACCTGAGCCATACTAATTGCAGTTTTACCTCAACGTGCGGTTTTGTTTTTTAAACAACCGAGGGCACATTTATAGCTTATAAATCCCGCCTCCACCAAATTTTCTCTCTTTGATACGCAAATCCAGCCCCCTACTTGTGGTTTTGCCTCAAGTTGTGTTTTTGAAAACTTATGTATTTATCTTTGGATGTGCTGGGACTTGGTTCCTCTGCGCAGGGTTTGTCTAGTTGCAGTGATGGAGCCTACCGTCGCGTTCTCATTGCGGTGGCTTTTGCTGTTGCGGGGCACTGGCTCTAGGGCACACAGGCGTCAGTAGTTTCTGCACATGGGCTCAGTAATTGCAACCGGTAAACTCCAGAGTATGGCTCAATAGTTGTGGTGTAGGGACTTTTAGTTGCTCCTCAGCATATGGACTCTTCCTGGACCAGGGATCGAACCCATGTCCCCTGCATTGGCAGGTGAATTCTTAGGCATTGTACTATGAGGGAAGTCCCAAATATGTGTATTAATCAACGATTTAAACTCTGGAGACAGAAAACTAAGGTGCAAAATCAGTGCTCCATGTCTACTGGCTCTGTAACCTTAACCTTCTAAACTTCTCACTATGGCTGAATTGCTCAGAGCCTCACTTTTCTCAGTTGTAGAATCAGGTCATTGTGGGGATCAAAAATTGTAGCTGGAGGGGAAGAGGGGAAGCTGCTTCGTGGGTAAATGGTTTTCCTTTGGAATGAGGGAAATGCTTTGGAACTAGATATGACAGGGACAGAGCAGGTGATTAGTTAATCCCACTAGGGGACATTAAGTAGAAAAAATATGGGAGACCCCTGTAAGTTAGTGATTACTCAAGAGAGCAGATTTGCTTAACAAGAAAACCATGCAACAGAAGCACAAGACCTGCCCTAAGCAATAAGACAGTCGTGGCATTAGACCATCGTACTTCGCAGTGAGCTCAGTAAGTTAATGATCTCTAAGACATGCTCTTTGCACATGTAAAAGCAAAACAAAACAAGTTTTGTGGACCTAGCTTGACCATGTAGGGACAAGAAAACTCCCATGCTCAACCTGGAGGAGGAGCTGATGATGAAAACATGACGTGTACTCAAGAAAAACAAAAAAGCTCTCCCCTCCCCATTTTCCCTTTGATTATAAAACTGTAGCCCAATAAGTTCTCAGGGCCGCAGCATTGGTAAGGCTCCCCACTTGTAAGCCTTGCAAGTTTCCTATTCTAATAAATCACTTCTTATCTATCACTCTGTTCTTGTTGAATTCTTCTCTGTACCAAGACATAATGGACTATGGTTCCAGAGGGCCCGTGAAACACCACCAAATGGAGCTCACCAAACATTTCAGATAGAGATGGAGGCCGCACCACGTTGTGAATGTATTAATTACCACTGAATTCTTCACTGCTCACACACATACTTCACACTGGGGTGTGGGCCTCACTGTGTTTCTATCGCCTCCAGTTCTGATCACCTCTGTATTATTTACAAGTTTTGCAACTACCTATTTACTTGTTATTCATCCATCAGACTATTGCATTTGGAACAGAAACACTATACCTGGGTCCTGTATCCTTTTCACCCAGTGCAAGGATATTCAATTCACTCAACAAATATTTAAGTATTTACTATATGCCAGGCTCTGGCTTAGGCACTGGAGATACACTGATATATAAAACTGATGTGATCCCTGTGCTTGTGAAGCCAACAATCTAGAGGCAAAGACAGCTAAATGGCGAGGACTGTGAATGAAAAAAAAAAAAAAACGCTGCAAGGATAAAGAACAAAATTGAGAGGGAAAGGAAGGGGGAGTCAGTCACATGGGTAGAGAAGAGGTCAGGGAAATTTTTTCTGAAGAGATGCCAAGGTCTGAAGGTTGAGGACTTAGACATATGACTTGGCCAAGAATGTTCTGGTCAGAGGGAAAGGTTATGATCTTGAGGTAGAATATTGCTTGGCATTTCCAAGAAATGGAGGAGAGGCTAGTATAGCTGGAGCTTAGTAGGACAGAAGGCAAGTTGAGAGGTCAGCAGGAGTCAGCAGGGACCAGATGTGTAAAGCCTGTAGACCTTGATATGGGTATAATTTTTTTCTCAAAGCACAGCATATGAAGTATAATGGGAAAGAAGTCATAGGCAGTTTTTAAGCAGAAAAGTGACAGAACTCTCTTTTTTGAAGATTTGCCTGGCTTCTATGAGGAAGCTAGACTGTGGGGGCCAGTATAAATGCAGAGATCACCAAGGAGGTTATGGCAGTCATCCAGGCAAGAGGTGATGACGACAGGTTTGAAGTGGAGATAAGTAAAAAGAGTCAAGATATATTTTGAAGATAGAGTCAACAGGTCTTAGAGATGAACCGAATTTAGGAAGTGGTGAGAGAAAGGGAGAGATTATAGTCTATGCACCCGGCTGTGTATGGATGATAGCATCATTTCCAGCAAAAGGAAAGAACAGAAGAACAGGTTTCAGAGACAAAGCCAAGAGTTTTATATATAAATAATTAAATTCATGGCAAATAGATGGGGACACAGTGGAAACAGTGGCTGACTATTTTTGGGGGCTCCAAAATCACTGCAGGTGGTGATTGCAGCCATGAAATTAAAAGACATTTACTCCTCGGAAGGAAAGTTATGACCAACCTAAACAGCATGTTAAAAAGCAGAGACACAACTTTGTCAACAAAGGTCCATCTAGTCAAGGCTATGGTTTTTCCAGTGGTCATGTATGGATGTGAGAGTTGGACTATAAAGAAAGCTGAGCGTGGAGGAATTGATGCTTTTGAACTGTGGTGTTGGAGAAGACTCTTGAGAGTCCCTTGGACTGCAAGGAGATCCAACCAGTCCATCCTAAGGGAGATCAATCCTAGGTGTTCATTGGAAGGACTGATGTTGAAGCTGAAACTCCAGTACTTTGGCCACCTGATGCAAAGAACTGACTCACTGGAAAAGACTCTGATGCTGGGAAAGATTGAGGGCAGGAGGAGAAGGGGACGACAGAAGATGAGATGGTTGGATGGTGTAACTAACTCGATGGACATGGGTTTGGTTGGACTCTGGGAGTTGGTGATGGACAGGGAGGCCCAGCGTGCTGTGGTTCATGGGGTCGCAAAGAGTTGGACACGACTGAGTGACTGAACTGAACTGAATTAAATTTATTTATTTTTAATTGAAGGATAATTGCTTTACAGTATTGTGTTGGTCTCTGCCAAACAGTAACATGAATCAGCCATAGGTATACCTATGTCCCATCCCTCTTGAACCTACCTTCCACCTCCCTCCTCATCCCACCCCTCTCGGTGGTTACAGAGTCCTGGTTTGAGTCCCCTATTATTATATTTCTTTGGCCACAATTTGCATCTTGTGGGATCTTAGTTCCCTAACCACAGGTCAAACCTGGGCATCTGGCTGTGGGAGCTGGAAGTCCTAACCACTGAACCACCAGGGAATTCCCAGGATTTTTATTTTTGACATAGTAAGTTCTAAATGCCAATGGGACATCCAGAGGGAGACATTGTGTAGGCAGTGACTCTAGTCTGTATATCTCTAGAGAAGAAATCTGGGATGACCACAGCTTGGGGGAAAATGATCCACATATATGTGGTATTGACTGCCTGGAGACTGGATGGTATTACCTTGGAACCCTAGTGAGAGAAGATAGCAGTGCCCCTTCCTGAGTCAAGAGGAAGTTCATCCAGCAGAAGTCTGGTCAAGAGAAGATGTCTGCAAAGGAGCCATGAGCAAGAGAGTTCAGAGAGGAGAGTGGTTTCACAGAAGCCCAGAGGAAAGCAGGGAGACCTCAGTCAACAGTGTCATCAGCTGTTGTTGTGCTTAGACACTCAG